GAAGAGGGGAAAGATAGCAGGTTAAAATAGACTAGCCAAAAGAGAGACCCTGTAGAGGAAGTATTGTTTTCCCAAGTAGTCAAATGTGAAATGGTGGTGTTTTGCAGGTATTCTATGGAGTGAAGCCTAATGAAAAGATCAAGTTTGTGTGTGGCATTCAAAAGGCTCAACACGTTATATTTGCTAATTGGGTGTGTGTTTCTTTAGCATCCTCACAAGTTGGAGTTGCTATTGCTCGTGGGGTTAGAGCTGCAAGTGTTGTGTCTTCTATTGTTCTAATGCAGAACTAGCTTTCTCAGGTTTGTTGATTGAGTCAAATATTTATCTCTGCAATTAGTTTCTTCTTAGAAGCAACATAACAAGTTTTTCTAAACTTTAAAGTTCAATGTGTTGGAGGGAGAGACGAGGGAAAGGGGATGGAGGGTGAGGATTAGAGAGTTCTTAAAGACCTTCAAATTCTCACCTTCCATCTTCTTACCCTCCAACCGCACACAACCTTAAGGTCTCCTTTGAACACTAATTTGATATTAGGGAGATTTTGGTGGCGGCCAGCATGGGGGGATGACTTTAATGATTTTTTTGAATATTAGGCTATACTTTGGAAAATATTGAGTATATTCAAATTTGATTAGTTGTCATTCTTTAAAAATTACTATATTTGAATATACAAATTACATGAGCTCCAGCAAACATGTCAAAATGATTTGTCGAGTTTTAACTAAGTTTGTCACCTACAAATTTTCTTTGAGGTGAGGGGGGCGTGATAGCTTTTGAATAAGATACTTAGATGCGGCTTTTAAACTACAGTTTCTTTGACTTGAGAGTCATGATTTCTTCATTTCTTCCTGTCGTATGAATTGGCTTACATACCGATTTCATTTTTTAAAAAATGAAATCTCCAAGTATTCAGAAGTACTACTCCATAGGAAGTTTCTTGACAGACCTCCCCCAGTTTATCAAAGGCACCTTCAAGTATTCAGAAGTACTACTGCATAGGAAGTTTCTACAAATAGCCATTACCCTCTTTATACCCTGCTTAGGTAGGATGAAAATTCTGGCCCAAAATGATATGATCCCCATAAGAATTAAATTTATGATCCTGACCCTGGCCATGTAAGACAAATTTCTTGTCCCGCCTTACGTTAACCTACTGGTCAATTTGTTGATTAGAGTATCACAATCAGCATGTTTCAATTTAGATATAGTAATAGGGCTCCCCAAGTATGTAAATGGTAATTTAGTCATTCTCATTCCAGTCATAACTAGTAACTCTTCTTTGATATGCTGATTCACTCCTCATAACACTATTTGGGATTTGTTTTTATTTATTTTCAGTCCTGTTGCCATCTTAAAATCCTCCAGTACCCCCATAATACCCATAAACCACAATCAGTATACTGTCCCACTGGTATAAGTGTATAACCACTAGCACACCACAGCCAACTCATTGCCGCAACTTCCAACTTCTGTTAACTTGTCTTTTCTTGTCGCCAGCACACATACTCACATATCAGAGCCAGTTGCATGGTCACTTGCAGAATAAGCAATTCAATTTCAATGAGACTATGTTGTCACAAAGCACTAAAGTGCCAGCCATCCACATCAATCACTCTACCTTAATATCATGTATGACATCGTCCAGACTCCAGAGCCATCCCCGAGGAATCAGGGGCCCTGGACGACACGGAGAAAATGGGCCAGTATGTGATAATAAAGTAAAGTCTATCAATTAATTTTTTTAACAATAATTAACATTATAGTAATATGAGTAAGAAAATTTCAAATTCATAGTCTTATAAATTATAAGGGAGAAAGACCAAACTAGGACTAAAACATTGAAAATATACCAAAATAGGACTTCCATGTTTTTATTCCCAAAATAGGACTTACATTACCAAACACCTGCATATACATTACCAAAAAAGTATAGTAATTTGCACATGTACACTGCCACATTACCACAATGCAAAGTCACATTACCACAATGCAAAGTCCTATTCTGGGAAAAAAATATGAAATTCCTATTTTGATACTTTTCTCTATGTTTTAGTCCTATTTAGGATGATTTCTAAAATTATAATTACATACTTCCTCCGTCCCTCAATATTTGTCTAGTATTCCTTTTTGGGCTGTCCCTCAATATTACTCCCTCCGTCCCCCAGTTTATGTCCACTTTCAGAGTGACACAAATACCAAGGAGGAAGCATTAAAGTAGGCAAATGTCAAGAATACCCTTAGTTGAAAAAGTACAGGGGTTTCATGAACAGCCAAAAAGCAATATGGAGTACCTAGTAAAAAAAGCCCATACTGCTTTTACTTTTTGCAGTGATATTATCCCATTAACAAAAAAAGATTTAAACTTAAATCAAGAAATAAATGTGAAAAATTTCATCTAATATAGGGACTCAGAAATGTGAAAATTTTCGTCATTATCCCCAACTGCAAATTTTGGGTCATCAGACTCAGGAACATAGGTTCTCATCATCGCCTCAATCTCAATCCGAAACAATAATCTCAGCATCTTTAGAGTTCGGAAGAATAATTTTTGCATAAATAGACTCCGGCAAAGTCTTCTCCTCATCACCCCGTCCCCATCTTCATCAGGAACAATCACTTGTCTGGCCGGCTTCATGATGTTCTTCGATGGCAGAGACAAAGTTTTCGATCCCTACCAACGAAGGGCGACTCGTCTAGTTTGAAGACGGTCAAACCATCATCATCGAAGCTTATCTTATCTTCAAACTCAATTTAAGGGATTAAGGATTCAAATTAAAAAACAGAGAATGAAACAGATCCAAATCCCATCCAAGATCTAGAGTTTTTTTGGATGAAGGAGAAGCAGAGGAGACGGAGATTCAGGTGGAGTATTCTAGATGGAAACAGAGGAGTGAGAAGATATTGGGAACAAGGTGGGTGTGGAAGTAAAAAGTGAAATTTGCACTAAATAGGACTAAAACATAATGATTTTCCTAATGTAGGACTTAAACTTTTTTATTCTCTAAATAGGACTTAATAATGACCTCCTGGGAGGAATAATGCCCAGTAATGCTAGACATTTACTTGAATAATGACTACTTGATAATGACCAAAAGTCCTACATTGGGAAATAAAAACATATGGTCCTATATTGAGAAAGTCACTATGTTTTAGTCCTATTTAGGTAAATTTATCTTTCATGTTTTTTTCCCGGAATAGGACTTTGCACTGTGGTAATGTGATTTTGCATTGTGGTAATGTGGCAGTGTACATGTGCAAATTACTATACTTTCTTGGTAATGTATATGACCATGTTTGGTAATGTAAGTCCTATTTCGGGAATAAAAACTTGGAAGTTCTATTTTGGTATATTTTCAATGTTTTAGTCCTACTTTGGTCTTTCTCCCTTAATTCAATTTATTTTGCTAAAAAAGGAAAGTGGACAAATATTGTGGAACGGCCCAAAAAGGAATACTGGAAGAATACTGAGGGACGGAGGGAGTACTATTTTATGCCTAGTACATTTCATCTTGTGAAAGAGACATCAGCTCTATTGACAATGTGTAATGTTTACAAGGTAAATACTTAATCTGTCTTTAATCTTGGGTTTACCAAAGCAACATATGATCTTGTATCACGTCTAGGGATGTACAACAACAACAACAACCCAGTTAAATCCCACAAGAGTAGGGTCTGGGGAGGGTGTGTGTACGCAGACCTTGCCCCTACTCGAAAGTAGAGAGGCTGTTTCCAAAGAGACCCCCGGCTCAACGTCGAAAGTTGCATTGCTTGACTAACTGATACTTCATTAATTAAAGAAGAGCAGATAGTTTAGAGATCCATTTTGATTTATTCCATCACACCCCAAAGCCAAAAATGGTGAAATTTTGGCTCCATCGGAGATGATGGAAAAATCACGTCTAGGGATGTAAACAAATCAAATACTTTTAGTTCGATTCTTGATTTGTATACGAATATAATTATTTGAATTCGCATTATTCAAATACAAATTCAAATTCAAATATCAATTTTGATTCGAATATTAAATAAATACAAATACAAATAGGAGTATATTCGATTTGGGTGATATTCGAAAATTCGAATATATGTATATACACACAAACCATGTCTCAAGATCAATATAGTCAAGCAAAGTAATATAGATAAATAATTAAAAATTCAACAAATTAACGTAACTCTCTTCTGATTCTTCCACCTCAGAGGTGATACAGTTCACGTTTGCCTTACCCTTGCACACATGTCCAAGTTTCCAGGGTTTCTTGCAAGAGAAACACAACTTCACTATCCAGATTCCCTTGTACTCCTTTTGGCTGATGGGTTGGTAGGGCTAAGTGGTTCAGCTGTTGAATGCGAGTTTAGCTTCCAAGTGTTGATGTTCTTAGTCATCAACCCTTTGCTTTCGCCTTTCAACCATCATCCCATTACCCAAACTGCCAAGTGAGAAGGCGGCCTCATAGAGTTTAACTCTTTTTATAAGCTTAACGGGTACTAGGATTAGTTACTATTGCCAAGTGTTTGAGGCCAGCCCTGAGGGGGGGGGAGGGTACTGATATAGATTTTGACAAAGTATGGCTCAGTAAGAGCAGGGCTTTCAAGCAACATTATTGCTCTCATTTTAGTCATTTCTTGAAATGGTCAGTGTGGTTCTCCACTTATCCCACCTGTTTAAGCTCCATTATATTAATTCAACCTCAAGAGAGATACCCTTGAAGCTAGATTACCTCTGAAAAACATCCACAGCGAATTTCTCCCAGGTTACCATTCCACTATTACCTCTCAGATAACACTCTAGCCAGTTGTCAAATTTTTCTTTTACAAAGAGTAACACTAGCTTCATTTTCATTGGAGGAAGGTACCTTAATAAATTCAAAGTATTGGTCACACCTTCTGACCCAAACCTGTCTGATTTGTCTAAAAACGAAGAGGCATAATCCGTTTCTCAAACTTGAACGCAAGCCTATAAGTCCTGAACAATGAACACAGATTTGGACTTGTGAATTCTGACCTCCGACATCAAATCTTCTCTCAAACTGGCCATGGATACACCTAAGACTCTAAGAGGCAATGGTCAGGCACTCAGGCCAATTTTGGATTCTAGTGACCCTTGCTCATTCTTGATGGTAGACCTGCACAGAACCTGTTTGTTTGATGATGACTAGGTGACTAGTTGTTCACCTGGGTTTAAGTATTCTGTTGGTCCGTAATGCTCATGAGTGAATTTGATGAATTCCTCCCGGTACAAGAGCATGCTTTTGGCATTGATCCAGGAAAACTAGTCCAAAGTGTCGCTCTCCAGGTGCATTGCTGCTATTTCAACCTTGTCTTGTACTGATGATCCGTAGTACAAAAGTGCTTTTCAGCCTTCAGCACCCATCCCTGTTTGATCTCCACCGCTGAATTTAGGGAACTCAACTTTGGATATGTGGCATTGGCTGTGGTTTTGATCAGTTTCATGGTCAGAATCATCCGCATTCTCCATCTTCGTCTTCCCAGAATGGCCTCTGGTCTGCGCCTTCAGGGCTGTCACTTATGCTTTAAGGTTGCCTGACACAGAAACTTGGCAGCAGTTTGTGCTAGTGTCGGTGATGGAATGACTTCGTTCGCTATTTGCTTGTCAGTTTCAGCATCCTCAGCCGTCAAAGTGGGTAGCATTTGAACGTAATTGCCACAAGGATTGGGTAACGAGCGATCTTATAACAAACAATTGAAACCGGTTAGTGTTAATTCATGATGGAAGTTAAAATTAAACTTTTTCTTTCCCTTTCTCTCATTAAGGATCTCACCGATAATATGGAATAGAAGCCATGAGAACCTCAATATCACTGAATAGTATTCAATACTTTACAGTGGCACATTAACTTTCTCAATACCTTAGGTTCGGGTAAATAATGGACTAAATGAAAAGGACACATTAAGCTTTCTTTGCTTCTTGCTTGCAATGAAATTTTGGATAGTAAATACTGCAATGCATCAAGGACCTATAATAAAATATTAATTGGAGTAATTTCCATAAAAGGTCCCCAGTTATAGGTCGTTTTACATATTTAGTCCCTACATATCAAATATTACTAATTTAGTCCCCAATTATTATATTCATTTCTGCAAATAGTCCTTTGTTAACATTTCCGTTAAGAACGTGGATAAAATTGTAAATTCACTCCTTTCTCTCCTCAATTAAGCTTCCTCCCTCCCCTCGCACTCCTTTCCTCAAAAGAGTCTCTTAATAAAACTATTTTTTGTATCAATATTCATGGAGGAAGTACTAATTACTAGTATTAATGTCTGCATCAGTCTCGAATTCTGTTTATATACTTGAGGGACCTTTCTGTGCATGCTGCAGGTAATAGAGTTGCAGCTTCCTTCATTTTTCAATAATTTTGATCCAAGTGTGGCTGCTGCCCTTTTTCCTTCAAGTACTTTTCTCTCAAGTTAAAGTTATAAAGTTGGATCTTCATGTGCTTATAACTTTCTTCAACCCTGCTTCATGTTAAAACTGTAAACTTGAAAAACCTTAACCTTATAAATATTTAATCTTTCAGGCGTGCAAGCGTATTTGGCCGGCCTTACATTTGCCTTAGCTGCATCACCTTGTAGTACGCCTGTACTGGCCACCCTACTTGGATATGTTGCTGCATCCAAGGTACAATTTTTTCTGGCTTAATTATTTATGTTGTGTATTATGCTCATTGCCCTTTTTCTCACACTTTTCATCCCCAATGCCATACTGTCCCTAACACTATGTTTGGTTCAACTATTCAAGGAATTGAAAAGGAAAGGGCAAGAAAAAAGCTTTCTCTCCTTTCCCACACCAAAATGGAAGGAATTTAGTTTTACCTCTTCTTAGTTTATTTTATCCTCTCTTTTTTATTTTCCTTCCACTTTTCTTTTCTTTTCTTCTGTAACCAAACAAGAAAAATGATTTTCCTTATCATTTTCTTTTTGTTTCCTTGTACCAAACATAGTGTAGAATAAAGTAAAATGAAAAGAAAAGAGAGTGCTTAGAAAGGAAAAAAAGTAAAGGTAAACACCCTTTTATAACGGAGTCACGGGATACTAACAGTACAAGAACTAGCGTGAAGATCATCAGACTGCCATGAGTTTGTGCAGCTCTTCTCTGGTCAGCACATGTGGAAAAAGTGTCTCTTTACTAATTTTACTTACTACTGTGTGTTTAACACCTGAATTTGTAATAGGATCCAGTTGTAGGAGGCAGCTTACTGCTGACATATACGACCGGCTATGTTGCTCCCTTACTTCTTGCTGCTTCCTTCGCTGGAGCATTGCAGGTAGGGCTTTCACAATTTGCGAGATGTTTTTATTTTTTTTCATGTTTGTTGCTTTTAAGGGAACACATTTCGATACAAGTAGTCCTATCCGAACAGTTTGTACTTTGTAATATTGATTTTGAGATACTTTTCATTCAGTGAAACATAAAACAGTAGTACAATTTTTTTAGGAGTGTTAGATAACAGCTGTGTATGCTGATGTTAACATAATATTCCCCATTTATTGAGGAAGAAGACATTGAGTTATCAATACGTCGTAATTACCCGACTATGAAATAAGAAAGTCAATCCTCTTCTTAATAGAGAACATTGCATCAGAGCTTAAGTGTTGTGTTTCTGTGAGAAAAGAACAAGAGGGAAACAGTTTATGGTCATTTTTTAAAATTTTATCTTTACACCAAAATACTGTCACAAATTCACCCTGAGTTATTTTCAAGGTGACTTGTTGTCTTTCAAGCAATTAGTTAAAAGACGAAAATACCCACCAGGAAGGGGATATCAAGGGACTAGGTTTGGCTGTAATAATGACTAAAGGTACAAAGTGCTACCAAGCAATTAGCCCAGACTACTATAAGTTTCTACTTGTAGCCTACAATACCTGATTGTTCTGTTCTATTACATGCATTGAATTGTTGTATTGCTTGCCAATATCTGCAGAGTCTGCTCTCAATCCGCAAATTCTCCGCATGGATTAATCCAATCAGGTAAGTTTGCGCAGAAAATATTGTGATGCATCAACAACTTTTCCTCAAAGTTAATTTGAGAGAATGGATCCAAACCATTTAATTCTTTATATATATTGCAGTGGTGCACTACTATTTGGCGGCGGTGTATTTACTCTTTTGGATAAGCTTTTTCCTGTTACAATGACAATGTAGATTGGGGCATTCAGGTTGATCACCCAATGGTGTGTCCCCAGGGGAATGTTAAAACACGATTTTATGTTTCCAAACGGATGAAGATGGGAATTGATAAATGCACTCCATTATTGTTAAATGCACTCCACTATTTTGTATTTTTGTTCGAGTAGACATATTTGACCCTTGTGTGAATTGATTTTTTTTTTGGTACAACGTATGTCTTTTTAATTAATTTTGATTCAACCTATTTAGAATCCTTGAAATTAAAACTCAAATTTTAAGATATGTTATACGACAGAGTATTTTTAATTTTTGTCTTAGAATTATTGTCTCCCTTCGAACAATAATTAAAATTCTATCTCTTTTAAAATGGTTTTATTTACAAATGAGTCTAAAAATAAAAAAAAATGTATTATATATTTCAAAAATATTTCAAGAGTTTTAACAAAATAAAATATTACAAGAATATTTTATTTTATCAAACAATCAATAAAAATATGCAAATAATAAAAAAATATCAAGAGATTAAAATAGTAACTGAGACATCAGATGGAGTATTAAACTTTGTAAATAGGGAGTATTTTATTTGTCATTCCTTTGTTCAAATGTAAAGAATTGAAAAGTCAAAAAACTATCGTTATCTGAAACATGATTAAATTTTTTAATTGAGGGAGTACCTGGTAAGTTTTTACTTTTTATATTTTAAAAAGAATTTTTTTTGACAGAGACAATTGTGTCATTTCCCAATCCAAAAGAAAAAAAATGGTGAATTTCACAAAATTGGATTATTAAATTTATCAATGGACAAAAATTATATTCCCTTCGTCTAACAATAAATTTCCTAGTTAATATTACGATCTTTTGATAACTTATTTTTGTTTGTATAATTTCATCAATCATTTAATAAGATAAAATACTCTTATCACATTTTGCTTTGTAGAACTTTTGATGTAATTTTGAACAATATAATTTGTATTTTTTCCTGATATACTAATTTTTTTGAAAGAGTGATATAACAATTTTTTATTAAAATTATTTTTAAAAATAAGACATTTTTCAAAAATGGAAAATTTATTTTTGAAATATATATTTCAAATATTTAAAGAGTGAATGATACTTTAATTTGAGAAAACAATTAAATGGGTCGAACTAAAAAAAGATAGAGTATAAGATACTAAAATTCAATTGAATAGGGGCAAATTGGTATACTCCAACAAAAACGTAAAAAGGTGGAGTGCATTTAACAAGAGTGGAGTGTATTTATCAGTTGCCGATGAAGATGTGTGAACAGAAGGAAGGATATTGATGATTTTGTGATTGTACTTCGATTTTAGAGTAATCTCTATAAATAGTCCTGTATATTCATATCATATTTAGTCTATACTAGTATTTAACCTGTGCCACGCACGGGATCGAACGCATGTTATTTTTAATTTTGCTAATTTTTTTAAGTAAATAATTATAAAATGATAGTAGATATTAACCTTGTACCGATAACGTTTCTTCGCAACTCTTCAACTATTAACCTTGTACCATTACACAACCCAAATGTTTGATCAATGTTTCTTAATAACATAATTGGTACCCCTTTCTTCAAAACAAATCTGTGGTTTGGAATCCCAGAACACTTGATATCATTCAAGAACTCAGTCATTATGCAATCACCATCTATGCATATATTTGAATCTACTTGACATGAAGAATCAGAGCTCAAGTATTTCTTTTCATCTCCAGGAATAAGAGACAAAATAAAATCATTGATCATTTCAACAACTTCAAGCGTGGGTGCTAATAAAGCTCTATCCCTAAAAAAGTATAATCTTTCATATTTTCCAATAAGTCTGGATACGTGAATTCCACTATACTTTGAAGTGGAGAACTTGAGTTCAGGATCAAGGATTTAGGTGGAATTTCAATTTCACCAATTCCATCATTAACCACACCAAGCTGTCCATCTCCAATCTTGATTATCCACTCAGAAAAAAGTTGTGTGTCACTGTCTGCGTGGCTGGATGAAGATAAATGCAATCTCATATTCATAGTCAATGTAAATACTTTACAATATGACCACAAACTCGATGAATTCACGGTAGCTTCCACAATTTCTTCTCTTGAAGCTCTTGGTATCACTGGAAGTATTTTACGAAAGTCACCCAGCGCTTCACATGCAGACTCAAATGAGTTATGTACAATATTATTTACTGTCCTTAAACTTTGGTAACTGGTGCATCCTCGTTACATAGTTAAGAGCAACCTCAAGTAGTATAACTCACCAGTATCCGGTGGAACATAATGCAACCAACCTATAGATGGTCTTTGTTGTTCGGGTAACCATCGTTGCTCTTTTGTGTCATACACAAAGTGTCCTGGAAATTCAGCATAAGTCAATGTATGTCCCTCTGAATACTTTGATTTTTCCCACACAAAAATTGGTTTATAAACCATCAATTAGTTGCTATTTATAGTATGTTTGTACTCTTTTTAGTCTGTAGCATTTATTCTAACATAATGTTTGTTTAAAACATGACAACTCCTGACTCCTAATGCCTACAAACATATGTTAGACTATTTTTTCACCTACAAAAGTTAGAGTTTAAACCATGTGCTACAAAAGTTGGCTTATAAACCATCATTTGGCTCAAAACTTGACAACTCCTAACTCCTCATAAATCATCAAGATGGGTGTAAAACAGCAAGAAGTCTACAATATGATACACACAAATAAAAATATTGTCTAACTATATCACACAGAATTATTATAATTTGGACATATCCAACAGAAATATTATATAACCAATATGATACACACCAATAAAAAATATAGTCTATAAAATATAATCTGGACATATCCCACAGAATTATTATTTTACCAATATGATACACACGAATAAAAATTGTCTAATTTTTACAAATGGAAAACAATAACGTATATACACATCATAAGAATCATATGCAACATTAAAAGTTATTCTTTGACTTACATGTTCGTCCATGAACACCATCTCAATAGAATTTGTCGTCGCAACATCACTATATACAGGTAAAGTATATAGTCTAATCACACGAACCATGATTCTCCAACACTCACTTGTTGGATTGATTTTTGATAAAGGATGGATAGTCATCTCAGCGAAAAAATGACTTATGGAGGAATATGAAAAAAATTCAAGGGAAAAAAACAGGGGTGCGGTGGGTTTCTTCAATGATGAAAGATTATTTATAGCAATTGTAAGAATGATTATTAGAAGTATTTTACATATATGAACCGTGAAGAATGAACCGTAAACAACTACGTACTTTAAATATATGTGAAGGGAAAATTTTGGAATGAAAAGAATCTCAAATCGAAATTTGTAAAAAGAAAAGTAATCTTTAAAAAAATCAAGACTTTTGAAACAAACATAATTTGCAAATTAAAAAGAAATTGGAAATAAACCTATTCTTAGGACATAATCTGGAAAGGAAATTTATTCTGAATCGCGGACTTTTCTTGACCATACATAAACTCCTAAAAAAATGAAACATAATTAATTTGAAGACTTTCCTTCGCAGAGATGGAAGACGGATCCTTCAGATGACCTGCGTCGGCGATAGATTTGGGATGAGGATGGAAGTTTCTAATTTACCTATGGTAAATCCTTGAAGAAATTTAAGAAATCACGGATTTCACGCGTTGGAGGAGGACAGGCGAGAGAAATTTCTCTCTTGCGCTGAATGAGACATAGAGATGGGTGGGACTCTGAAAACACGCCAGAATTAGGACATGTGGATGGCTGATGTGGCATTCAATTAAACCATCCTTAAGTGACAAATGTCATCATTCTACTTAATCAACTCTCAAATTTTATATTAAAGGATTTATCAAATATTATGTTTGCAGTTCTTATTAGTTTGGTATCATTCCGCGTTTAGTCCTTCATCTATTCTTCCGTCTCAGTGTTTTTAGACAGGACTAAACGTGGAATGACACAATCAATAAGAGCAATTATTATCAAATTGTATCAGTTTCTTAAATTTTTCTCTCAATCCCAACCAGGCAAGAATCAGAACTCTCAAAATTTGAGTGACCTATAGGATCTCAAACGCTGCTGTCGCACCGCAAATACACATTTTTTCGGATTAAGTCTGAGTTTGTACCTGGCCATAATCTCGAAGCACTGTTCCAGATCTTCAGCATGGGTTGTCGCTCTCCTGCTCTTCACCAACATGTCGTCTACATATTCCTCTATGGTGTGCCCTAGTAACGGCCTAAAAAGCTTGCTGACCATCCTCTGGTAGGTTGCCCCCGAGTTTTTCAACCCAAAGACCATGACTTTGTAGCAGTAAGTGCCATCAGGGGTAAGGAAGGCCGTCTTCTCTTCATCTTCCTCAGACATGTAGATTTGGTGATACCCTTTGAAAGCATCCATAAAACTAAGTAATTCGCACCCCGCTGCTTCGTCCACCATCTGATCAGGACTGGGAAGAGGGTACAAGTCCATGGGGCAAGCTTTATTGAGATCGGTATAGTCCACACACATCCTCCACGTGTCCCCCTTGGGGGCCAGAACAACGTTCGCCAATCATTTGGGATAATTCACTTCCCGTATATGACCTACGCCCAGCAGGTGCTTGACTTCCTTTTTCACGAACTCCCTCCACTCACTAGATAAAAATCTTTTCTTCTGTCTTACCGGTTGTGACCCATCAAGAATTGATAACTGATGACATATAACCAAGCGGTCTATCCCTGGCATATCAGCCACGCTCCAAGCAAAAAGGGAATTATAACGGAGTTATACCTGGACAATTTCAGTCCTTTGGTCGTGAGGTACCCCCTTTCCGATTTTGACCACCTTCTCGGGATAGGCCTGGTCAATCTGGATCTCTTCCGTGTTTGGATCGGGTTTGATCCTCGCCTTCTCCTCACCCTTGTCCACTTGCTGAGAAACAACCTCAATCTGTTTAAAGAGTCGGGTCATCTTCTTGACAGCCTCTAGATAACAGGATCGCGCATTCTTCTGGTCGCCCCGCTCTTCTCCGATACCGTTGGGGGTGTGGAACTTCATGCACAGGTGTGTCATGGAAATTATGGCTCCGACTTAGTTTATCCCAGGTCTTCCCAGGATCGCATTATGTACGCACTTTATATCGACCACAACAAATCTCATTTGTTTGGTCATTACCTTGCTTCCTGAGCCTAATTCCACCGGTAGCGTTTTCTGCCCCTCCGCCTCAATTGACCCTGATAAAGGCGTCCGCAAAGGCTTCAACCTGGATCGGTCTATCTTCAACTTTTTGAAAGTTTCCAAGTATAAAATGTTGACACTGCTCCCCGTATCAACCAAGACCCTCGCCACGTCTGCTCCGTTGATATCCATTGTAATGACCAATGGATCATTATGGTCTCCTCCCGTCCGAGGTAAGTCCTGGTCACTGAAAGTGTTGGACTCCCTTTTTATCTGCTTGGTGTTTGGCTCCACCGATACGACCGCTACGTGTAGACTTCTGGCCCAGTTCTTCCGCTGGGAGGCGGTATCCCCGCCTTTAGGGCCTCCCACAATCATCTCTATAAACTCTTTATCGTTGTTCCCTTATTTTTTCTTTGCCTGATCCTTCTCTTTTGGTCACGTACACGTATTTGCTTTGGGGTCCTTCTTGACCCCTCCACTAAATTCTCCAAGCTCGCCCTTCAGGACCATCTCCTTGAGTATGGCATTCACGTTCCTACAATCAGCCATATTGTGGGAGTCTGATTGGTGGTAGGTGCACCACTTCTCCGTCTAGGCCCTCTTCGCCAAAGGAATTGACCTAGGGTTGCCCTTGGAGTTCCACTAGAAGAAACTTGGTAGGACCCATTCCAAGGCTTGGAGATAAAAAACACCATAGGCACAACTCCAACAAATATCTCACCGGTAGGCATTGAAATGTGTATACCCACTGACATCGGAGGATGCATACGTGAGGTCTCAAGAATTCAAAATATGTTCTGATACCATGATAAAAATAACAATAAGAAAATATTTTGTATTTTCATTTGTCATGGTGATTACAAAGACCCTGCCATCTTTATATACAAAGAGGAGACCAAAGAAACAAAAGTGGTTCTACTTTCACCATAATTCTATACTTATTAAAATAGAAGAGTAAAATCTCAAAATGGTTTTTTGCAATATGTTATTTTCCTAATTCGGTCCTCAATAAGTTTTAATTACCTATGTGCTCCTTTGTAATTGACATTTCTTAAGTAGTCCTTCGTAAATATTGTTACTCAAATGATTATTAATTAAAAGGTACTTTGGTATTTTTATCATCTAAATTTAAATTATATTCTCAACATGGTCAATTTCATACAATCAAATGTAAAATTAAATTAATACAATGATTATATATAATTCATGAACTACTAAAAACATATAAAAAATCTTTTAAAATTGGAATTAAATACACATTTTTAATTAGAAAAAATCATTTTGGGAAAGCATTTCATTAGAAATGATCATTTTAAGAACTTAATCTAAATTTAGCTGATAAAAATACCAAAATACCTTCCAATTAATATGCATTTGAGTAAGATTATTTACGAAGCACTACGTATGAATAAATCTCAATTATAGAGGACCACGTAGGTAATTCAAACTTATTGAAGATTGATTTGGAAAAACACCTTATTATATTATCGAGGACTATTTTGAGAATTTACTCTAACTAGAAATACTACAAAATAACCAAATATGTAAACTAAACATAATCACATTTCTCATTGACTGACAAGTGGATCTTTTCCCTTTTTTTGAAAACCTCAATTCTTTTATGATATCAATACGCATCTTAAGATCCATAAAATGAGTATGGATCTTAGGGCTACATAAGAATTTAATTACCTATTCCATAATAGGTAGAGATAAGTTTGAGAAGTATGTTTTAGCCTATAGTGACTATAATATCTTTGATAATTACGGTCATAGCATGGGAAAACAAATTGTAGAGTAAAGGAAATAAAAGTTAAGAAATCATGCTAAAAAGAGTAAAACATAGAAAAAGTACCAAAATAAGAGTTCCATATTTTTATTCCTTATATAAGACTTCGCACTATGATAATGTGAGACTGTACATGTACATTTTACTATACTTTCTGGTTATATACATTGTCATGATTGATAATGCAAATGCATTTTAACTCTTATTTTGGAAATAAAAATATGGAACTCCTATTTTGATATATTTTCAATGTTTTACTCCTACTTTAGCCTTTTCCCAACAAAGTTCCTTATGCTCTTGATACCATGTGATGATAAAATAATAATCCTTTCGTTCAAAAAAAATTTTATTTTGACAAATGGGAGAAATAAGAAGTGTATATTTGTAATTAAAACTCTAATTTTATGTTTGATGTGATGGCCAACAAAAATAAGATGTAATGGGTATATAAGTATATTGTATTAGTGAAAAATATGATGTGATATATAGGGTAGGTATTAATAGGGGTAAAAATGATTTTTTAATAGAAAGTATTAGGAATATTAGACAATATGAAATTAATATTATATTTAATTCCCTTATTTATTCTTTCCTAAATATTTTTTACTATAGTTCTTCTCCTACTATGTATTCTTCAATATTCAATAAGAATTATTATTATCAAATAGCAGTATCATAGTATCGAAGCCAAGGTTTTCACAAACCTAGCTTTTCCTTTTCCGATTGAGTACATCGTCGGTCTATGTTCACGGAGGTCGATCGTCTGACAGCATGGCGTCATTGACCGGTCTCGACAGTCGTGCATATCGGCTTTCTCCATTATCTCTCTTTCCTTGTAAAAAAAAATCTAATATCTTTCTCTCCCAAAAATATCATGTGCATGTTCGAAGAACGGAAAAATTACATTTTTGTCTGTTTTTCTAGAGATCGAGAAAATGGAAAGAGACGGAGAAGCAGAGAACGGTCCAAAAGGAGAAAAAAAAGAAACTCTTCGCCCTTGCTTCAATCGCTAACACTCTCACAAAAAACACGGAAAATATAATTTCTAGCTCATTCGTCATGTAATTTTAGGGGCATAATACAATGATTTACACTCTAGCCGTTCCTAATTAAATTACATTTTACTATTTACATGATCAAAGTTTATTTATTCATGACTCTCATTTCAAAGAATTGCATTAGTATCATTGGACCGCGATGCTTTTGGCAAAAGAAAATGATTAATGTTGATGTTTGAAGTTAAATAAATAAACAATGAATTAATGCGAGTAATCAAAATTTGAGACATTTTTGTAGACCAGTAGATGCTTAGTCTGTATATTTTGGTAGGAAGGGAGTAGAAGTAATCGCTCGGGATATGTATGTTACATAGAGATTCACCAATCATTATATTCAGAAGAATACTTTCTTGTCACAACTCACTACAAAGCAAACAAACTGCCCCACAAAGATTCTTTTATTTTCCAACTTTTACCCGAGTTAAAACTTAAAGCCTTAAAGGCTTTGTTGGATTTGGAAGGAAAATGAGAGGAAAGAAAATGAAATGAAAAAAATGAGAGGAAAGAAATTGGAGAGAAAATGAAAAGAAAATAATTATTGTTTGAATAGATAAAAAAGAAGAGAAAATGAGAGGAGGAAATAAAATATGATTAAGCCAAAAGACATTTATGCCTCTATCATAAAGCAACAAAAGGTTAAAGAAAAAAAGGTGTACTTCGTAAATTAGAAAAGAGGCGAAGGGCAAACATGTCATTTTATGCATTTTCTCTCCATGTGTATGATTTTCTCTTCAAAAGTGTAGACAAAATTTTTTAGAGCTTTTTTCACTCTTTTTCTTTCCTCTCCTCATTTTCTATTGCAAACAAACAAGAAAAAAGATCTAGAAACTTTTATTTTTCTCTCTCCACTTTTCTTTCCTTCCAAAACCCCCCATCCAAAGGGAGGCAAAATAACAATAGAAAGTAAATTTTGAATACTCCCTCCATCTCTAAATGTTACGGAGTACATTTTAAAAAATTAGGTAAAATATTAAATTCTTTTCAATTTATTTCATTTAAATATTGGTATAGAAATAAAAATTAAAATTTACATTTTTAAAAACTATATAAAAAAAATTTCGAAATAAGAGGTATCAAGAATATTTTCTTTTATCAGATAATCAATGAAAACGTAAAAAAAACATAATTAAGAGGTAAAATAGGCTTAAAATTAGCAAGTACATTATTGGTAAAATAGAGTTTATTTTTCTTTCTTCCTATTCTATCCAAACACTAGGTGGAAAAATAGTTTTATTTTATTTCTCCAAATTTTTTATTTTTATTTTATTTTTTCTATAAAAATTTCCCAAACCGCGGTAAAGGTCACATAATCGCATTGCCAATTTTGACTAATCCTTTTTTTTTTTCTGAAAGGCATACCATTTTACACTTTGTTTTGGACATTATTCCAACACGCACCACCCCTTTGGGGAATGCTACAGGCACACCACATTTTAACCCCACTTTAACCCCATATATACAAAATTTTTTATTTTCTATTTTTTAAAACAATTGACTTCCTTTTCTCTCCTCTTTAATATTCCTTGACTCTATGTTCTTTCTCCCTCCATCTTCTTCGTCCCTATCTCTTCTTCTCTTTTTATTTATTTTTTGTTTTATTTTCAAATTTCATCCTTTAACTTTAATTGTTCTTTACTTCAATTATTAATTGTGATTGTGTTTATCTTCTTTGTAAGTCGGCCAATCAAGGTTATTTTTTATTTGATTTAATGTTTGTGAAATTTGTTTCTTAGTATGTAGTAAATTTTAAAGCTATTTGTACCTCAAGCTTTTGTACCTCATTTGTACACCGCAAGTTTGCACCGACATTTTAAGGATTTCAATCGATTCTTTCGCGGAGCGCCTTTTCGTTTTAAGGATTTTGGGTCTAAGATGTTTATCACTTGTTCTACCTCGTCGGTATTCAAAGTATCTCTTCGTACTCCTTTAGAGGGTGGACAGATCTTCTGTTGTGATTCCCCTTCGATCAAGTCAATCCACTTCTTTGTACATTCTTCATCATCTGCAAGTCTGTTTGCCAATTCATGAAACTTGTTACACAACATATCAAATCGCCTTTGTGCGTCAGTGCAAATTAAACTATCGTACTCCATCTTCACTTTTATCCCGTTACGAATGAGAACATAAACACAATGGCGACATGGTGGTTGACACCAACAAATGGGGCAAAGGGCAAGTCGTACTTATTTGTCAAGTAAGTTGTATCAAAAGTGACTTGAGGTGATGGCATTTATATTTGGTTTTAACTCTGTCAAACAAACATGAGGTTATACACATATATACGTATGATAGAATTTAGGGTGGGTATGGACAACTGGATTAGACAATAAGACACTTGGGTTGAACCACATTAAAAGATTGAATCCAATCGATTAGTTAGTTAAACTCAAGAGCTTATATACCGATAGCTTTTCTATTCAACTTTCCGATGTGGGATAGACTCTAACAACGTACTTGAAGTGATGACATTTATATTTGGTTTTACTCTGTCATCTCTCAATAAGTCGAGGAATGAAGTACAACTCATCATAAACAGGGATGAAACTACAGATAAAAAATTTCAAATATTAACAAAAACGAGCAATTGGAGAAAGTGAAGACAACAAACAAAAAAATCACATACTACAAATAAAAAATTTCACATACTAATAAAAAATCCACAAATATTAAATGGAGACAATTATCCCACACAAAGAACAACAGTAAGAATTTAGAATTTAACAGACATTAATACGCAATTTTTATTTTTTCAACTATTAAGAAAAAGTAAAAAACCTAATTAAAGAATAAACCCTAATTTATAAAAATCTAAGGAAAGTAAAAAAATTACCTTGATTGAGCAACCCACTAGTGAACAGAGACGATCTATGGCGGCGAAATTGGGACGATTGATTGTGGCGAAGAGAGGACGACCGATTGTGGCAAAGAGGAATGATCGAAGATGGTCGGAGGGACAAAAGGAGATACAATCGCAGTTAATGATGGAAGTGAAAAACAATTAAAATTGGGCATGAAATTTGAAAATAAAATTAAAGAAAAAAAAAGAGTACGAAGAAGAAGGGGTGAAGAAGATGGTGAGAGCAAGAAGGTGGAGGGACTGCAATAGTGGAAGTAGAGAGAGAAAGTGGTCAATTATTAAAAAACTAAAAAGGAAAAAAAGAGGGGTATATATATATGGGGTTAAAGTGGGGTTTATTTGGTGGTGTGCATATAGCATTTCCGTTTTTCTTATTCACCTTTCAATTTTCATTTATCCCATGAAAAATGTAGGGTAAATGTGGAGTTGGGCGCAAGAAGGTTTAGAATGGTGTAACCGTGTAACCACTATTTTTGTCCGAATTTTCCATCACCATTTACTAGCCCCATGAGCCAAAAGAACAGAAGAATAAAAGAACAAACGAAAAAAAGAATAATATTTCTTTCGTCTTGCATTGCGCAAAATGAAAGAAGAATTCAAGTTTTTTTACATTATTTTATTTAAAAATTGATTAAAAAATTAAAAAATTACATATTCAAATATAAAAAGTTTATGAAAATAAAAATTGACAAGAATATTTTCTTATCAATAAAAATGTACAAATAAAAAATCTTAAATAGTGAATTGTCTCTTTTTTTTTTTGAATTAAAAAGTGTGGCGTCGGTTCTGAAGCTCTATAATTTCAAAAACCACTGTTTCATCGACAAAACTTGAAGAGACAAATTTGGCAATTTCATTAAACACGTCAAATGTTTTGGAAACAAGCGGTTGGTGTTACACATAATCTGTTCTCCTGCATAGAACCATTCTAAGGGAGAATATTAATGGGTAGCTAGGTAATTGTAGGGTATATCCCTCCTAAAAAAAACTAAAATAAAAAACGAAAATAAAAAAACTTGAATGAAAGAATTATTTGCATTTTGCACTACCAGCAATATTCTCCAAAAAGATTTTTTTTTTTTTTGGGTGGGGTAATCCGTAGAAATCCATGACCCAAGAAGATTGGAATTGAATCAGTGAAATGTCAAGAACCAGAGTTCTTGAAATCCAATTCCGGCCAAGACTCGGCCTGGGTTTACCTAGACCGGAGCAAGAAGATGCTGAACTCTTGACCCGGACCTTCATCCGGGTTGATCAAATGAAACGACTCGGAATCGGCTCCCCCGGTTATGCACTCGTAGTTGGCCCGCATGTACATGAGGTCTTCCGGTTCGTCCACGCCCGACCCGAACCCGGATGGAATCACGCCTGCCCCTACGGAAATTGACTGCATTGTCTTGAGCATGAGCCGGGTCTGCTGCGTGGGCCGCCTCCGGACCGCGAACCCGAGTTTGCGCCCGTTACAGAACAGGGTCCAGAGCGGGATGGAGTGGAGCGGGCATCGGCTGAGTTCCGACTCGGGCGAGTCAAGCTTGAACTCGAGGGCGATCCTGACGAGTCCGCCGCCCATTTCTTGGGTCAGCGTCGTGGCGGCGATGGAGAGCTCGAGGAGCAGAGAGGGTCTGGTGTTGAGACGGTCGTGCTGGACGCAGAACCAGACGTGGCCCCCGCGGCGGTGGCCGAAAATGGTGCCGACGACCATCGTCTTGGAGGAGCGCGGCGGCAGGGAGGCGGCGGCGGGGGGACACGTGGGGCTGTCGGGGTCAGAGTACTCCTCCTCCTGCTCTGTTCCGCCTTTCCTCCCCTCTTTCGGCTTCGGGTCGTCAAGATCGTCGCGGAGGGATGTGCTCAGCCTCTTCTTGGCGCCGCCGCCGGCCACCGTGATTGGAAGCGGGTGGTGGTTAGCGGTGGCGGGGGTGAAGCACGGCAGGAAGAGACGGCGGAGGGCATTGATCTTCGCCATTGGATTATTCTTGATTTTTGTTGTTTTGGGATTGCGATTAAAGAGGGGATAATGAAGACAAGAAATTTATAAAAGAGGGATTTCAAATCGATCTCAAGTGAGTTGAAAAGAAAAGGAGGGCCTTTAAAAGACGGAAAAGATGACGAATTTTGGAGAGGTGGTGTGGAATCTGTGAATGGAAAGGAGGGCTAAAGCCTGTTTATTTCCGAGTAAAATTAGTAGCCTGAATAATTGCTCTCCAAATAAGGTTCTGTACCCTGCAATTAAACAAGATTCATTTCATCTCTTCATCATACAAATCTTTTCATTCTGAAAAATGTGTAAAATTTCAATTCTTTTGAACTTCTTTTTATTAACAAACTATTTTAAAATAAAAAGTGCAAATTATTAAAATTTCTATAAAATAAGATGTGGGAAGAGTAATTTATTTTATCAAACACTGCATAATTAATTAAAACACATAAATAAAAAATGTTGATGAGATACCAGAAGATAAGTCCAACGGTAAGGAGCATTTAAAAGAATTGGGAAAAAAATAAAATACGTCAACTAAGAAATTCACTCCGTAAGTTTTAGAAGAATTGTGGAATCTTATTTTAAAACCAATGAAAAACGAAATGTAAATTTTCTATAAACCAAATGGGTTAGTTTTCAATATAGCGTGAATTAGCAATGTTCAATTCTCAAGATATAACTTTAAATAAGAGCATTTAGATAGATAGGATAAGAATTGTCGGATATAGATGTTTTGGGCTAAGTGATAATTTCTCCACTTATGTGTGCTTTGTAAACTTTGTATACTTAGTGCTCTCTGCTAGCTGTGTAACCTGTGTTTGGCCTTGTTATTAATTCGTTCTTTGTCTCGATGTATTTTTTGCTATGTCTGCCCAATCAGCGAGGTCTGTTACAATCAACATCTCTATTTTTGAATAGGGTAGAGGCAAAGTCTGGTCACACATACTTTTCTCAAACCTTATGCTCGTGGGATTTAACTGAATTGTTGTTGCTGTAGAAAATGGTATTATATTTGCGAAGACATGTGTTAGTGTTTAATTACTATATGTTCATAGGTTCCCAAACTATTAGAGCAGCAACAATGGTGAGTAGTTCACTGCCTTGCCACGCCACCTCAGCACGAACGGAGATTTGCCTCTCGTGGCTATCCAAATATGCCATGCAAGGAGAGGCATGACCGTGGCATTCTATCATGTCTTTTTAATTTTATTAAATTTTTTTATGAAGTAAAAAGTTTTTTTTGTAAGAAAGTAGAGGCATTTTTTTTATTAAAGAAATAAAAATAAAAACTGAGAAAAAAATAAATAACAATAATAATTCCTAATAATCAAAATATTTAAAGAAAAGTTAAAACTGAGAAAAAACTATTGTCATTTTATTTGTTTGCATAAAAAAGAAGTTTTTTTTAAAAAAAGTAGAAGTATTTTAATGAAAATAAATAAATTAAATAATTTTGAGTTAATATAAATGTTTTTTTATGATAAAATAAATAGGTTAAATAACTTCAAATAATTCAATATGGAAAAAATAAAAAAAGAATAAGAAAAACAACGACTTGCCACTGCAAAGCATACCACTCCACTCTCTTGCCACTCGTTGACTGGACTGTTTTTTATTGGTTGAAATGTTCCACGTCAGCGTGTGGCATTCTATTTTTTCCTCACCATTGCTCATGCTCTTAAATCACGTAGAGCTAGCGTTCCTATTGGGAATTTGGGATTATTCAAACTTGATATCTTTAATTTAGAAGAGTACCGTGATGTCACTGGACAATATGTCTTTGGCAATAACCGTGCTCGGAAAACTTCAAACGATAGTTATACTCAAATTGAATATTCATGTTAAATTTAAATTTATTTAATTTCTATAAAACGATTTATATGCATTTAAGATGTTTAGAAAAATTCCAATCCCACTAAATAATACGGAGTAAATATCAAATACTCCGTAATACTTCAATTCGTGAAATAATGAAGACACCATATTTACAATGATCAGTTCGTTACGTTGTAAAATAACGTTTCATTATTCTAGCTTAATAACGTGCATTTTACTTCATGATAAAATACTAATGAATTTCTGAAAATTGTAAAGAAATCCACACATTTTTTGTATATGCATTGTGCACAGAGCAGGCACCTTATAAATTCATATATACCCCGGAGTACATATTTACAGTTTACGTGTTACTATACATACTCCGTATATATATGTGAAAGTATAAATGAATGTATATTATGACTTTGTTTTGAAACAAAGTTTGTTATATACTCCATCCGTCTCGCAAAAAAAGTTCCCATTTTGAATAGTATTTAGTCAAATATTTAGACACTTTGACTACAAATTGTGAGAAACTTATATTGAATTATAAAATAAATTTAATATAATTGGATTAATCTTAATTATGATCTAGTTTTGATATCTCAAACTTTTTTTAGCATTTCTTTATTTAAATTATATTTAATTTATGGTCAAAGCGTGTAACTGTTTGACCAAAAATATATCAAAATGAGAACTTTTTTGTGGAACGGAGGGAGTACTTTATAATGTCGTAAATTAGTTTTTGAAAATGTTAAACGCTCTTGTTGTATAATATTTTTAAAACCCTAAAGATGAACATTAAAAATTTATTGTGGAACAAGTCCTATAATTAATTTGATGATAGTTTTCAAAAAATGATTTGATGATAGAGAAATAATTTGACTGGTCAAAAATGTTAAAAGGCACAAAGAAAAACAATTAGGGAGTACGGGATTATAGTGTTTTTTATTTTTTGAGATCCGGATTACAGTGTTAAACAAAATGATCCTTACCAAAAGTTGTCATCAAAATTTCTCTTTTCTTCCAAACAAAAAAGAAAGGAAAAAAAATACTCGGTAATCTCTTTTTCAAGACGCACAGTGCATCCAAATCCTTACAGCTAGGAGAAAGCAGTGAGCAAAGCATAGGGAGAGGCAAAAAGAAATGATTTAAGTGAAAGGTTTTCAGTGATGAAAGGGACATAGACTACTTTGACCCTTGACCAGGTAATAATTATTTCTAGAGTTGGGATATAAAGATGATTAAAGTGTCTTCAGCCTTAAAAAGTAAAAAAAATGATCCCCTTATCCTACTTAGGAAATGATGGGCCGATACCCAACGGGCGGCCCAAATGAATCATTTAAGCAACTTGGGTCAAGCGCCTGGAGAATACTCAGGCTTGGGCCGGCCCATGGAGTTAAGCCCGGCCAATTCTCGTCCAAGAACGGTTGGCAGAGTCAACTCAGAGGAGGAGACGGAACGGAATGACGGAGATGAGGACGGAAAAAGAGGATTGCGCCATTGACGGGATAGACTCCATTGAATATGTATTGCCTTAATTATCTAGAGCCCATGTATAAATAGAGGGGACCCGAGAGGGTAAAACTCAAGCTAAATCAAGCTAAAAATACATACCCAATTCTCGAATTCTCGTTTTCTATTTTGTTCTTACGATCCGTTCTCCAAATCGGATCATTTGGTGGATTATTGTCCATCAAATTGGTGCTTTCATTGAGAGTTCGAGGATCATACTCAGAGGAAACCCTCCACAAAGACGATGGTGCAAACACACAGCAATGCCAACGCAGGTGTCGGAGCTCCCCACCAGGGAGAAAACAGCGCCACCGGAGGCCAGCACCCCCCCCCCATCACCACGGTGGAAGCAGAGGCCCTCATCCAGAGGGTCGGAATCACGGCTGAGCAATTCAAGGAGGTGTTGGCGGTACTAACACCCAATCGCGAGATTGTGGTGGGAGATGTGGCTGGGGGACCCACAGGCGGAAAGGCTGGACCTACGGGCTCCCAGGAAAAAAGAAGAAAGTAAGGCGGTCCCAGAAGAAGAAGGCGACCAAGCCTAATGGGAAGGCCGTAATGGAGGACGCGCTGTCCAGATTGGACGAAGAACACGAGTCGTCCTCTTTCGAGCGGATGTCTGCTTTTGATCGCTTGGGAGACCCCAAGTCAAAAAAGCCCCGGACTTCGCGTTCGAACGATTGCAAGACACTCGGTCGGCCCGTAAAGGCGACCTGAGGGATACACTCAAGGAGAAGAGAGGAGAATCCACAGCGACCTCCAAAACCGGTTCTGAGGAGCGACGAAGGGCGGTCGAGGATAAGGGAGCAGCCGAGCTGTGGAGAATGTATGAGCAACTGGAGAAGCGGCTGGACGCCCAAAACCCCTATCGCCAAGCGGTCTTCAGCGGGCCACCGGTGGCAGAAGGAAAGAAAAGGAAGGATTACGGTAAGGGGCCAAACCCCACCGGGTATCATGCGAACAGACACCCTGTTCATGCGGTGCAGTCTTTGCCTGCCCCTCCTCACAGACGAGAAAGCTATGGTGTGCAGGATGCACCCAAATACTGCGAGTACCACCGTAACAGCACCCACAACACGTCAGAGTGCGTTACGCTGAAGAAGGAGATGGATCAGTTAATCGCCAGGGGGCCGCCTCCTCGGTCGGAGCGACCATCCTCAAGTAACCGGACTTGGAGTAGACCGGCAGCCCCCACAGCAGCGATCACAGCAGGAGAGGGGCAGGAGGATGAACGACGGCATCTAGGGAGAGATTGTGACGACCTAGATGAGGAAGAAAGGCAGGGCCGCCGACACCTAGGGTGTCGGTTCATCATGGGAGGCAACACCGGAGGAGATTCGGTGTCCTCACGAAAGAAATGGAAAAATATAGTGCATCTGGCTGAGGTACAAAGGCCACCGCTACCCAAGCGAAAGAAGAAGGAACCCCTGATTTTCACAGATGAGGATTACCCACCAGTCCTCAGCCCCCATAAAGACGCACTGGTGATAAAGGTGGAAATCAATAATGTAGTCGTCCACCGTACTTTGGTCGATACTGGCAGCTCGGTCAACGTTATGTACAGCAACACCTTTAAGGAGTTGGGGTTGTCTCGAAGCAACCTGAAGCCAATCCATACGCCACTGTCAGGGTTCACAGGAGATACCATTGAAGCTGAAGGAACTATCACGGTGAAGTCCGGGGTAGGAGATGACACCCACCGACTCTGGATCGACATGGAATTCATGGTAGTGCAACTCGATTGTGCACAACATTTGATTCTGGGGCGACCAGGGATGGAGGACCTGGAGTGCGTAATCTCCCCCGTCCACCTGTGCCTGAAGTTCAACACCCCCACAGGAGTGGGAGTGGCAAAGGGGAACCAAAGCTTGTCTCGATCCTGTTATGTCAGGGCGACCAAAAGCCATGCACGAGTCGATGAGAACGTGAGCACAATCTGTGCTGCGATCCAGAAGGAGGAGGGGTGACCTCAAGCTGAGCCAGCGGACGAGATTGAAGAAGTCACCTTGGACCTGGCCAAGCCAGAGCAGAAGGTAAAGGTAGGTAAAACCCTACCGCCTAGGCTAAAGGAGCAACTGTTGGAGGTCCTTCAAGCATTCAAGGTACTGTTTTCCTGGGGCCCAGAAGATATGCTCGGGGTCGACCCAAAGATCATCTGCCATAGGTTGGCGGTAGACCCAACCCACAAGCCGGTCAAGCAGAAGAAACGCTTTCTTTCTTCGGAACGGAGAGAGTTTGTCACCAAGCAGGTGACAACCCTGCAGTCCATTGGGCACATCCGGGAAGTCCACTACCCGGAATGGTTGGCGAATGTAGTCCTCGCACCCAAGGGGAATACGTGGCGGATGTGTGTCGATTACACCGACCTAAATAAAGCCTGCCCAATGGATCCTTTCCCTCTCCCCAACATTGATCAGTTGGTTGATGAGACGGCAGGATGTGAGCTGATGAGTTTTATGGATGCATTTAGTGGGTACCATCAAATCAAAATGTCTGCAGCAGATGAAGAGAAGACCGTTTTGATTACCCCCAATGGGGTGTACTGCTACAGGGTAATGCCCTTTGGTTTAAAGAATGCTGGAGCGACCTATGCACGGATGGTCAACAAACTGTTCGCACCAGTGCTGGGTGGATGCATGGAAGCTTATGTGGACGACATGATCGTCAAATCTAAGCGGATGGAGTCTCATGCCGGTGATCTGGAGAAAGTTTTTTAAGATCATGAAGAAGTTCCAGCTTCGCCTTAACCCTAAGAAGTGTACATTCGGGGTTCAGGGGGGCAAGTTCCTAGGACATATGGTCAGCCGAAGTGGGATTGAGCCTAATCTGGAGAAGGTGAAGGCAATTTTGGAGATGGAACCTCCGCGGAATGTGAAGGAGGTCCAGCAGCTCACCGGCAGGATTGCTGCTCTCAGTCGCTTCTTGTCAAAGATAGCTGATCGAGCGGCCCCGTTCTTCCAGACCATTAAGAAGAGCAGAGGGTTTGTCTGGATCGAAGAATGCCAACGGTCCTTTGAAGGGTTGAAGGCATACCTCCTCTCCCCACTGGTGCTTTCGAAGCCAGAGCCCTGAGAGACCCTATTCTTATACTTAGGAATCTATCCTCGAGCTGTGAGCTCGGTGCTTGTGAGGGGGGAGGAGGGCGCACAGCGACCTGTGTACTATGTGGCCAGGGTGCTGCGAGGAGCAGAACTGAGATATACAAACATGGAAAAAACCATCTTCGCGGTGGTATGTACGGTGAAGAAGCTCACCCCATATTTTCAAGCCCATCCGGTCCATGTGTTATCTCAAATTCCTATCGGAACACTCCGTCGAAGCCCAAATGCCCCGTCGCAGGTCAGCAAGTGGGGAGTGTTCCTGGGATCTTTTCAGATAGAGTTTAAGCCACGACCGGTGATAAAGGGGCAGGCATTAGCAGATTTCGTGGTAGAATGCACTGCAAGAGAGGTGGAATCCAATGGAGAAGAACCCGAGGGGAACTGGTGGACTGTGTACACTGATGGTTCGTCCGCGACTGATGCTTCGGGGGAAGGAGTCGTGGCAATATCACCGGAAGGGTTCAAAGCATACTACTCCGTGAGATTCCGGTTTAAAGTCTCAAACAATGAGGCTGAATATGAGGCGCTGCTTTGTGGTTTGAGGCTGGCAGCTTCATTAAAAGCTGAACGAATTCAAGTCCGGTGCGACTCCAAATTGATAGTAGGCCATGTCACAGGAGAATTTGAAGCCAAGGATGAGCGAATGAAGAAATACAGGGACACGCACTGGAGTTGCTTAAAGCATTCGGGGCAAGGTTCCCCGAGGAGAGAATGCCGAGGCGGACATCCTGTCAAAGCTTGGTCCAGATTCCCCAGAACATATCAAGGCCATGACCCAGGAAGAAGAGTTGCTCGAGCCAAGCATCAGTCTCGGACAAGTGCTGGTCATTACGCTCAAAGAGCCGGCGGATTGGATCGATGAGATTACCATGTACATCCTTGACGGGTCGCTACCCATTGACCCAATCGCAGCAAAGGTGGTGAAATGACGTGCACCTAGCTACACGCTGGAGTGCGGTCGGCTATACAAGCGATCGTACAATGGTACATTATTGAGATGCCTAAGAAGGGACGAGGCGCAGAAGTTAATGGAGGAAATCCATGCAGGGATATGCTCGGCACATCAGGGAGCTTTCATAATGTCCAGAAAGGTGACACTGCAGGGGTATTTCTGGCCGACGATCATCAGAGATTGCGCGGAATACGTGCGTAAGTGCCAAGTCTGCCAGGAGTTCCAAAAGGTGCCAGGGCGACCAGCAACGAATTATACCCCAATCAGCACGGCGATTCCCTTTGCTCGGTGGGGTATCGATTTGGTTGGCATCCTGCCCAGGGGGACAGGGAACAACACATATCTGGTGGTCGCGATTGACTACTTTACCAAGTGGGTCGAGGCAGCCCTTGTGCCGACTATCACTGAAGAACAGATGAGGAAGTTTGTATCCAAGCAAATCTTGTGTCGATTTGGGGTGCCCCAGCAGATCATCACCGACAATGGAACCCAGTTCGAGGCTAGAGGGTTCAATGAGTTTCTGCAGAGCTGGGGCATAAAACACTGCTATGCAGCGGTCGGGTACCCCAAGACCAATGGGCAGGTCGAGAACACTAATCGTACCATCGTGGATGGCCTGAAGAAGAAGATAATGGAATGTAAAAGCGCCTGGGTTAAGGAATTGCCTTACATCTTGTGGACCTACAGAACTACCCCGAGGAAGGCAACAGGTGAAACTCTGTTCTCACTCACATATGGATTTGAAGCGAGGGCCCCAGTGGAGACCTCGTTGCTGAGTTATAGAGTGGAGACATTTGATGCCCAGGAGAATGAAGAAAACTTAAGGGCAGAGCTGCACCTCATTGATGAGCGAAGAGAAAGGGCGTACATACGGGCAGAGAATTACCGTCGGCAGGTCAAGTCATATCTCAACCAGCGGGTGCGACCAAGGCAGTTCAGAGTGGGCGACTGGGTCCTTAGGAAAAGGGAGGTCAGTCGGCCGACCGATGGAGGGAAGTTTGCTAAGAGCTTCGAAGGGCCATATATCATAAAGGAAGCGCTGGCCGATGGGACGTTTAAATTACAAACACCAGCTGGAGGCGACGTTCCACGAGTATGGAATGCCGCCAATCTTATTAGATTTTATCAATAGATTGTATTTCGGCCGTGTTTTTCTTTTTCAAAGTTTAATAGAACCAGCATTCTGGAATGTCTTTGATCTCATTCTCGAAAAAAAAAGAGAGCGACCAAAGAGATCGCCAATTGAAGCTGCATGGTGGTTCGCACTAAGACACCCGTCAGGAGATGAAGTGCCGAACCCTGTAAAGCGACCAAAATTGAGGGCTTTCAAGGAATGTCCGCCTCCTAGTCGTCAGAACGATTATGGGGGCGACGCAACTAACCAGAGGACGACGCTGGGGCGAGAAAGCCTAAGAAAACGGCTAAGTCCCGAGCATAAGATCTGTTGATTGCATGAGCGACCAGCGGGCCTTGAGGTATGGCGACGCCATAGGGATCAAAATAACCCGAAAATGGCTAAGCCAAAAGAGGCGGGGTACTCTCTAATTAAGGTTTGAGGATACCTAAACGCTCAAAATAAGGTGCAAAAGAGAGAAGAAGATGGGACTTGTAAGTAAACAGGTAACATCAAAGTGCATTTATAAAATGCGTATTACATTTCAAGGATAATCTCTTGCATCCACACACACAATACAGTTGAGAATAATCTCTACATATTTCCAAAAGGAGGGATATTTTCCCAAACATTTCTTACAAGAAAAAAGAGGAAAAAGGAAATTTAGAACTTTGCGCAGCTGAAGCCCGGAAAGGATGAAGAATCCAGGAGGAAAAAAGGCAAGGTTGAAGGGTAGTTCTGCAGCTGTATGGGCCGACAGAACTCCAATCACCGGCCGTCCAGAGCGACCACCTTTCTTCTCCATCACGGAACAGGAGTGGTCGCCCCTAGCCGCGGCAAAAACCCACCGTCCTTCTCCTATAAGGAAAGGACGGAAGGCGACTCACTTTTCAGTGAGCCCCAATCGGCATCACCTAGATGAGGATGCAGACCCTGAAGCTGCTCGAGCTACCCCAGATCGCCTAGGGGCCTTCCGGGGAGGTGAGCGACCAGCGGGGCGGGGTAGGGAAGAACCCAGTTCTTCCCCCACCACAACCTCATCTTTAGGCTTCACTGGTGAACTGGTGCGACTTTCGTTAGTCCATCGCTCCAGACTCGCGTAATATGCGCACTCATGCTCTAAGAGGGGTAAGTGCTCATCGTGGAAGCTCCCCCAGGCCATGCATTGCAGCGAATGGAGGGGGCATGGGGCATCCCAGTCAATCCGCCCGTCAGGCAGACGGTTGGCAGATAGAGCCTTGTACGCCTCGCTGAAATCATCATAAGGGTTTGGGGGAATCGGCGGCGGCTTCACCGATGGCCATTGCCGGCGAGGCAACCGGCGGCAGAATTCGTAAGGGTCTAGCCCCCCCCCCCCCCCCGAGTCATTGGAGNGTTAAATGACCTGGGGGAGGAGGCAGGCTCCGGCGGAGAAGGAGCCGGCCCGTCGGAGAGGCTGAGAGAAACAGGAATTTCCTCAGACATGACGAAATGGAGAAAGGGAAATTATTTGCTGGTGGAACAAAACGAAGGCCAGGGGGCTTATAAATAAGCCCAGGCAAAGAAACCGAAGGGACGGTCAAGTCCCAAGGCAGCTGAACCGATAAAGCAGCCTTGAGCTGCGCGAAGGTCCAATCAGAGGCTGCAAGGGGTGCTGGGTCAGTTGGGCGGCACGCTGGCCAATCTTGAGTTGGGGCCTAGCCATGTAATTGGGCTGAGGTTAAAAGTTGGGCCCAAACAAAATCGTCTATGTTAGCCAGCTAAACTAACGAAAAGAGTACTGAAGTAAAACGCAGGAAAAGGGAAGCAAGCCAAAATAACATAGGAGCACTGTATCAAAACAAAAAATCATCCCAAAAAAATCACAAGTGTTTACAAAACTGGGGGATAACAACAGGGGAGGTTAGACGCTTGAGCTGGGGTTTCCACCCGCCTTGGAGGTGGCTAAGCTGGCCCCCGGATTCTGGTCGCCTTCCTCTTCTTCTTCTTCTTCTTCTTCAGAAGTGCTCGAGCTCCCTCCGTCCAAGTAAGGACTGGGGTCGAACTCGGCCAAGGAGCGACAGGGAGGAGGAAAGCCGAGATCAGGTAGAGAGAATCCTTTGGGGAGCTGGGCTAACCTGTCACAAAAGACTTGTTGGGCGCGAAAGAGTCCGCAATTGAAGGACTTGGTTCCCTCATTAACCATCCATTGAGCCCCAGGTTCAGTCTTGAGCCATTCGGCTGTCAGCTTGTCCATCCGTTCCAGAGCGACCGACGTGAAGTCAGGGGAGGACTTGAAGGATTCAATCACCTCCTCGGCATGGCGGGTTCGGTCGCTCCTCCCCATCTCCAGCTGCTGGATCAGGTCAGATTTCTCTCCTTCCAGCTCGACCACACGAACAGAGACAGATTCCACCTCCGAGGACAATGAGGCCTTGTCTGCCTCGAGGGCGACGCAACGGTCCTCTTGGGAGGGTTTCTCCACCTCGAGAGCGGCACAGCGACTCTCCTTCTCCTCCAACTCCCTTGTAAGGCAGGCGACCTCTTCTTGCAACTCCTTCTGCTTGGCCTCCGCTGCCTTCATCGCTTCATCCAAGGCAGCTTGGCGGCCCCGTTTCCGGCCGACCACTTCATTCATTCCCAGCGTGGCCTGCACCAAAGCATAGAGGTGAGGGATATAAAAGGAAGGATCGGTGCAGAGGAAATCAAGACAAGTACCTGACTAAGCCTCAGGAGGACCATGTTGTCAAGGTCGTCCTCAGAACCGGCTGAGATGCGGGCTTGGTCCTCAGCGGGCAGAGTGATCAGGGTCTCCAGCTGCACGTCCTCTAGGCTTTGGGGCGGAGGAGGGATGCAGAGCCTCGTCGAGCGACCCCCGGTAGCCACCTCGTAGGTCACTGCGGGCGACGAAGGAGGTCGCTCCGAAGCGACACCCTGGGACGACCCAGCTAGGTCGCCACCCGGTATCACAGAGTGCGGAGGGGACTGGCCCGCCATCGTACCCGTTTCCAGAGTAGCATCATCTTGGTCCTCCACCACAATCACAGCCGGCTCTCGAGGAGGACTCTCCTCTCGGTGGGAGGAAGAGCGCTTGCCTTGGCTCTTCGCCTCTCTTTTCCTCTTCCTCCCTGCTGTAAAGCGACTGAGCAGGAGATCGCCGTCCATCTCTTCTCCTGAATCCTGTAATTCAACTAGAAGCGGGGAAGATGGTTAGCTTCAAAAGAAATAAAATAGAACCTTTTGGCAAAAGGAAAGGTCAATTACCAAAAGGACCACAGTCAAGACCTTCCTCAAGAATGTCCCTCAGCTGGCCAGGCTGGTACCCCCCGGGAATGTCCCTTAGCAGGTCGGGTTGGTGACAAAGCTCATCCTGGACGAACTCAAACCCCAACCCGGCAAGGGTTTCCTCTGTCACCACCTCTTTGATGTTCATGACTCCCTTGTTGCAGAGTTGGCGAGTGATGGACAAAAGGGTGGCATCAGACGGGGGCATGGGACGCGACGGAAAGAAGGGTGCCCAGAACCTGTGAAAGGAGATTCGGGCCCCGTCGAAACAAAAACAAAGAAAGGCTTCCAGTCTTTGGTTGACCCCTTCTTGTCACTAGCGAAGAGTTTACTGGACCTCTGGGAAAGGCTGGCATAGGACGCCCAATCCTTATGGCCCTTGGTCAGCTTGAAAGTGAATAAGAAATGGTCCAAGGTTGGCTTCACCCCTACATCCTTGCACCAAACCAGGTAATCAGCGATGTACCGGTGAGAGTTGGGGACCAGTTGGCACGGAAGAAGGTCCACCACGTTGAGAAATTCGATCAACAATGGGTGGAGCAGGAAGCGCAGCCCCTTCTTTAAAGACGCTAGATGGACCGTGAAGAACCCTGATGGAGCGTCTAGGGCGATTTGGGTGCTGGTAGGTCTCAGGACCTCAATGGAAGGTCCAACCATGTCAGTAGCACCGACGAAACCCCGGTCAGTAATCTGGCAATGGCACAGCGCCATGATGTTTTCGTCCAATCCAACCCTCGAGCCCTCATCTACCGGGGTTGAGGAAGGGAATTGCTTCCTCAATCGACGCTGTTTTTGGCCAGGCACGGCCGACGGCGACGGCTGGGACGATTGAGTGTGGCCGGGGTTACGACCAGAGGCCGATTGATCGGCTTGGCGAGAATTGGACGATGGGGTAGCCGAATCGGAATCTGAAACAATCATGGCGGCGAGAAAAGGAACTGACCTGGAAAGGAAGGAAAACGGGTCGGGTAGCAGCGGAATTGCAAACGAATGATGATGATGAAGGCGAAAGAAAGAGATGGCGCCCAGCGGCGGTTTTTAACTGACAATGGGAAGGCAACGGAACCCAAGGAACGGCCCGGATCCACGCTGGAGTGCCCACGTGGACTTCGTAAACTCCCCATCCCTCAACGTGGCCCAGTCGAGGAATGAGGAGTTGGGGGGCTTGTGATGGGCCGATACCCAACGGGCAGCCCAAATGAATCATTTAAGCAACTTGGGTCAAGCGCCTGGAGAATACTCAGGCTTGGGCCGGCCCATGGAGTTAAGCCCTGCCAATTCCCGTCCAAGAACGGTTGGCAGAGTCAACTCAGAGGAGGAGACGGAACGCAATGACGGAGATGAGGCCGGAAAAAGAGAATCGCGCCATTGACGGGATAGACTCTATTGAATATGTATTACCTTAATTATCTAGAGCCCATGTATAAATAGAGGGGACCCGAGAGGGTAAAACTCAAGCTAAATCAAGCTAAAAATACATACCCGATTCTCGAATTCTCGTTCTCTATTTTGTTCTTACGATCCGTTCTCCAAATCGGATCATTTGGTGGATTATTGTCCATCAGAAAAGTTATTTAATTAATCGATAATATAAATTTTTTGAATGATATTCTCTTTGTTACAAGGTAGTATCTATTAATTCTATTCTTAATCTAATGACGTACAAAGAATTAATATTTTCGCCTCTACTTAGGCTCGAACCTGAGTAAATTTTCATATAAATCCTAGAGGGTGGCTTCCTACCACTCAACTCAAGTCAGGGGAAAAATTCAATCCATAATATAATTTTGATATGATAATAAAGAGTAAGTCTTTTGTTTTTTTAAACTTTGGGATATATTCTGCAGAAAAATAAATTGAACTAATAAATATGAATAAGATCACTACAATTGCCATGATTCTTTTTGGAACATTACTTTTTAGGATAATTCACAAATGATTTTTTTGTATAAAGCACGTGTCATCCTTGGAATTACGTAGATTTTAACACAAGTCAAATGATAACATGGGGTGGTCAAAGGGATCTTTAGGTAAAAATACAGTGTAATAAGTTGGATTGTGGATATTTTGTACCCAAACGTGTCCCCCTTTTAAGGTAGATTCTGGGCAGGGGTTGATTGTACCTTTGTTGAACATTGCTAAAAGTGGAGGAATCTTCCTTTAATTAATTTCTTTTTTTTTTAATCTTGCAAAGCACAGACTTTTGCAGTGCTCAATTTTAAATTTTGTCAGCACTGTTGGATTCCCGATGCAGTCAATACTCATCTCTTCCATTCCCACCTTTTGTGTTCATTTGAGGATTTTTTTGAGCCATTTCTAATGAGCACTCTAATTCTTTGAGAATCAAATTGATTATCCAACTGATTAATGGGTTCATGGGTGGGAGTGGTAGTCATGAACTCATTTAATAATAAAAAATACTAGAGGTACACCAAAACTTGTATCCCATTTGTATCCCCTTTAACTCCACCACACAAATGCAAGAGAAAAAAAAAACTCAAAAGTGAAAAAAGAAATCAATGATTATGATCGATGGTGTACAAATGGGCCTAGCATTCTTCTTTAATAATTCATATGAAGTAATTGAATTGAAGATTTAAAACTTGTGAATAAATGGAAAATCAACAAATTTTGAAAAAATATGCTAGCATGAGTGGGAAAAGTGCACACTTTACTCCCGAATTTTTCGGAATTACACGATTTATCCTTAAACATTAAAATAAAGGTGATAATTTTCGGGAAGGATACTTTGGAGAGTTCACAAGGGCCAGGTGAATCATAATCGCAATTCTCGTGAGTGGGAGCAAAACACTCCCTATCTAGCATTTTAGAACCAACGGTACAATATTTTATATTGTTCAAAGGTATTTGGTGCACTTTTAATGTTCAAGAGTAAATCATGCAAGTTTGAAAAGTTCGATGGTAAATGATGCACTTTTAAATGTTTAGGGGTAAACTATGCAATTTTCTAAATTTTGGTACAATAATGAATCAAAAATAAATTTTTCTCATTTTCTCATGTTAAGAAATCTTTCGGACCAAGAGAAAATGCAAAAGAAAAATGGTGGAGAAAAAATAAAACCTAAATGTCATGGCATATTCTCTTGTATAGTTGAGACTTGAGAAAGAAAATAGTGCGAAAAAAAAAGATGGTTTCATCATGTAAATTGTTTAATACTCCGTATTTTCTATCAATCAAAGAAGAAAAAAGTCTAAGAGTACGGTGAAGAGATTCTTTTTGAAATTACTTCTTTGCCCTTGAAATGTTTGAAATTACTTTACTCTCTTGTAGAAAAATGTTACTCCCTATTTTACATCATATTTCTTTATTCTTACTTTTATCTCCAACCAAACAAAGGTTTTCATTTTTTTTCATTTTCTTTTCATTTTCTACTTATTTAAAGTCTAAACAATCTATATGTTCTCTTTATTTTCTCCTCACTTTCACTTCTCTTCATTTTCTTTCTTCATATTTTTCTCCTATCTTTTCTCTACTTATCCAAAGAAAGGATAAGATCAGAGTCACGTCGATTTGGCTAGATGGAATAGTGTGATGGGATCAAAGCCAGGCTCACGGTCTGCATGGCTTAGGGGGGGGGTTCTCTCTGGGTTAGCCACCATCCTCATTTTCCATATTCTTTCGTATTCTGAAATCATCTCTCGCTACACACAATTGGGGACGTGAACGGTCTCGGAAGGACCTTATTATCTAGACTCTCAACACAAGCTTTAATCCCATTGGAGCATTGACAACTAGGGATGGCAATTCTATTCGAATCTGACTTTTACCGATCCGACCGAAGCTTGTAATATCCAAATCCGAACCGAAAAATCAAATATCCGAAACCGACCCGAAAAAATTTAAACCGAACCCGACTTTTGTCGGGTCGGGTTTGGGTTAGTATATTTGACCGACCCGACCCGACCCGACATGTACCCGACTTTTATTAAGTTATTAAAACCCTAAATTCCTATATTTTATGTATTTTTGATGTACATATTTTTAATGTTTTAAAACGTATTACATTTTTTGTGTTTCATTTTTATTGTGGTTTAATCTTGTGTGTCATACATATGTTATTTTCTTTATAATTCGTCTATTATTATTTGAAACTTATTATTTATTTTTTCAGGGTCATTATTATTTTTGTTAATATCTTAAATTTATAGTCGTATTTAAAATTTTAAATTTATAATGAATTTCAAGCTTAAAATTTTCATGAATACTTTTATTAGTATTCAAACCCGAATTTGACCGCAACCGACCCGGCCGAATCTTGAATCGAATCCGAAACCGAAAAAATAACTATCCGAAACCGACCCGCCAAAATCAAACCCGAACCCGACCTAAATCAGGTCGGGTTTCAATATACTCAAACCCGACCCGTTGCCATCCGTATTGACAACTAACATCTCCCGGTGGCTAGTGTGGTTGGATTGTTTAGCAGACTGTGAGCTCTCACTCTCTCCGTGGCTTGTAATTCTACGTGCAATATTTCTGGTCTTCATTCCGACAACCGTTCAAATAGCACGCTTAAGTATTCTCAATCGTCTCTCAATGAAAGCATCAATGTTGGACATTAAATCCACCGAAATAATGAAAAATCTCACACACACACACACTCCCTGCCGCCATTTTAAAGCCTTTCCTTTTATTTCTAATGAATGGATCACATTAGAAGTCAGGAACAACTTCAACAAGGTTCAGTTAAAATGGAAATGATCTATGAACACGTAACATAAAAACCGTGTTGGATCACCGCCATCCTCTTATTCAAAATGTGCCGTGTAAAAGTCTTTAAGCAGATGAGGAGAGTAATGCATGCATTCTAATAACACAAAACATTGGAGATAATATAGTAACCTTTTTCTTCAAGTGGGAAATCCGATAAAAGAATTATTTGTCCCGGCGTCTCACTCAACAAAGTGAGGCTTGGACAAATTAATGGAGTTACTGAACACCACTCCACCTGGCCCAATCGACAAACTGCATGCCGGCGTAGACATTGTTGGCGAACCGCACCCCGACAGTGAATGCCAATGCCACAGGTGGGCATTGCCTTGCTGCTGCCGATGACTCCACCAGCCTCTCCAAACCTGTCACAATCTGCAACCGCGTGTTTGAAGATACTCCCAGGAACACACCTGCACAATGGGGCAGCAGGGGGGTTAGTAAATAGACTTGGCAACTTTAGTTGACACAACAAGAGAGTGATCAATAGGGCATACCCCATAGCGCTGCACTCTTTAGGAGAGGAGGGACAGGTATGTCATCTTCTGATGTTTTTACACTCCTGAATAAAATATTTACGTTTCGTTAGTCGCATAACAAAAGTAATGGGAAAGTCCGGTTCACAAACCATCCCCCATTGCAAGAGGGTCGGTGGAAGGGTCTCGCCATAAAGAAAGATGTTACTCCCTTCATCCAACAATAATCTTTCCATTACGCATTATGATGTTTTGACTAAAGTTATTTTCAAATTATTTTACATGAAAAATAATGCGGAATTAAAAAATAAAAATTACAGTACATATTTAAAAACTACATCAAAAGATCTACAAAACTAGAGATGAATGACTATATTATTTTATCAAATGGGCATCGGAAATAGTGTGGAATTAAAATAGGAGTGACAAGTTTTTATCTCAAAATAGGAGTTTATACTATGACAATGTGGCACTGTATATTGGCACTCAGCAGTGTTTCTTGGTATAATTATATGTAGAAATTATTGGCATTGTACTACCTCCGTCCTAGAGTATTTGTCCACTTTCATTTTTACACACCATCCAATACACTTCTTTAATCCATTTTATCTTGTAATTTGTATATTAAAAAATTATAGAAATTATAAATTAATAATCTATATGTTAAGACAAATCAAACAAGATCACACATGACTATATTTAAACTTACACATTGAGAGAATTTGATGAGTCAAAGTGCTTAGATGAACAGTTCCAAAAGTCAAAAGTTGACAAAAACTGGGGGACGGAAGGAGTAACTCTTATTTTGGGAATAAGAGTTGGCACTCTTATATTGGCACTCCACAGTGTTTCTTGGTATAATTATATGGAGACATTATTGGCATTGTAACTCTTATTTTGGGGATAAAAACATCGAGCTCCTATTTTGGTAATTTCTCTATTTTTACTCCTAGTTTAGTCTTTTTCCATTATAAAATTGGCATGCCAAATATGGACAATTAAGAAAGTTAAGAACATAAACTCTAGCTTTAAACAGTCAGGCCCCGTTTGGTACATGGAATTCAAACTATGGACTTGGAATTGAGGACTTCAATTCCAATTCTAGTGTTTGGTAGCATAAAAATTATGTGGATTTTGGAATTGATAGTGTAAAAAATGAATTGAAATTGGTGGATTCAATTCTATGGAATTGAATCCCATGGAATTTCGATTCTAATTCAATTCCAATTCTATCAATTCCGTATACCAAACGGACCCTCAGCTAATTTTGGATATTAATTTCCATATTAAATTTTGCATCAAATAGGCCCCAAAATGGTTAAGATTGAGGTGGTGATGATTAAAAAAACTGTTAAAATCCATATTGGAAAGAGAATAATTTCTTTTAACTATTTTCATTATTTCAAAAAAGAAAACAAATAGATGTTGAATTCCAAATGTTTCTAAGGAATTCTTACTACTAGTAGTACTATGGACATACCGTTTAGCAGTCATTATTAGATTTGCAATTCCTTGGCCAACGATACCACATCCAAACCCGACAACTCCATATAGAATTCCCTAAAAGTACAAAGGAAAAACATAATTGATTAGTTTCAGCACAAGCTGTTTGGATTTGTAAAACAAGTGAAAACACACACACACACAAGAAGACAGTATGTTTCTTTAAAGGCTATTGTGGAAACTAAAGGCACACAAAAATGAGTATACAATATATAGTTAAATACAGAGTATAATATAAAATCCATTGAGTTACAAAACTTAAAACAATGAAAAAATCTAACCTTATAAAAGTAAGCAGCTATTCTCTGATTCATTGTAAACTTACAGCCTGGCCTTTCCGCCTCAAATACGCTGAAACAAATAGCCATGGTTTGATGTTGAACCATATAATGCGAATTTTCTATTCCAACAAAGTGCCAACATAGTTTTAAAAAACGATTAAAAAAGCCTTTGCTGTATGAAGTTTAAAACACTTCAAAGCAGTGGAACGAAGAACATTTTAATTAGAATGGAATGATGTTGTAAAAACCTGCTAGGAAGAGCTCCATAAGCCCTCTGCAGATGACCAAAAAATCCTTGAGATGTAGAAGGTTTTCCAATCCGGACATATGGTGCTAGCAGACCAACTAAGGCAACATTGACAACAACCCCAACTGTCATATCTGCAGCGTACAATTCAAATTCAGCCCAGAAATCCTTGCCCCTCTTTTGAACTTCGGCAAATGTTGCGCAAGTAGTATCGATAACAATCTACATTATGAAATCAGTGCAAACGTCAGTTCAGAATTTGAAAGAGTTTTTTTTTAATAAAAAGGTAGTACAAAAGAAATGATTCATAGATAACTGCACAAGACATCAAAAACCGAGTAAAGTCCAACAAGTAGGGTCTGGGAAGGATGGGCATACTCAAACCTTACCCCTACCTATAAAGGTTGAGAGCTTATTTTCCAAAGACCCTCGGCTCACGAAAAGTGTCGAAAACATTGCACGGGAAAGCTTCGATAGATTGGCTGGCTATATATTATAATTGTAAGAGAAAACTTTGTTGATCTCAAAGACCCTAGGCTCAGTTATCTTTTAGGTGCTTGGCACCGGATACATGTTCTAACATTCTTTAAAAAATAACAACATTCACGTGCATAATATGAAGTGCAAGGATTTATCAAAGCAGATGAAACAAACAGTTAATACGGAATAACGAGTGAAACCTTGAAACAAAACCATAAAAAGAGCTAAACAAGTTTAAACTAACCTCAGTTCCAACTTTGAAAAGAAATGATGGATCAGCCAACATTCGATTCCTGAGCATAGAGCACGACCTGATTGCAGGTCCCAGAGGCCACACAGATCCCTGCACACACCCAATTTCATTACATCTTAATCCAATGAATCAACTATGATGGTGGCTCAACAACTAAATTCATCAAAACCACAAATATCACTTTCACAAAACTCAAAAGTGTACCTGCAAGTCTAAATATCTTTGCAAGAGGACTTCCCGGATCCCAATACTCTTTGCAGCCTCTAACATATCAGCAGGAAGAGTGGTGCCACGGGCCTCAGCTTCCCTCATTACTTCATCAAACTTCAGTAATGGCCCGAACTCATCTTCTTCATCGTCATTTCCCCCATTTTCGTTACCACCCCCACCACCCCCACCAGTGAATTTCCCGTTTCCACCATTCCCATCCACTAAATCTCCACCACCACTATCTGTTGAAGCTATACAACTGGAACTCAGAACATTACTTTCTTTGCTAACACTTGAACTGTAACTCTCTTTCAGTAAATCACTCACACTAGCACTAGATTGTGACTCGCTCTCTTCACTCAACGAGCTCTTCACTAAAAATCTGGAACTGTTACTCTTACACATCAAATACCCGTTGCTAGTATTGCATTGGATCTGGACAAAATTCAATCTTGATGCCCCAATCTCAGTAAAGATGCCATTTCGCGAATTCCAAAATCGAGATGGACAAATTCCAGATGAACAACTAGACATTTTTTATTTCGAAATCAGCTAGGAGAAATTACAAAACAACAATCTAAGTAAATGAAAGTAATCAAATGAAACAACAAGTCAAACAAGCTACGACAGTTAATCAGCGAAGCAGATGGGGTTTGGAAGAACACGAGTCCTGGAGCTTCTCCTTTCGTTGCTGTAACCAGAGGAATGTTACCCGAAGGGTAGGTAGGGGCTGGAGAGTTTGAGGCAAAGAGGAGTTCTAGTAGAACACTCTTTAATTTTATTTTGACTAGCATTTTGATTCGTGCATTTTGATTAGTGCCAATGCATGGGTGGAATAATTTTTTTTGTTTTTGTTATTTTTCATTGTGACAAAATTTTTCAAATATCAAATAACATAAAACATATAGAATTGCGCTAATGAAAATTCTACTATATACAATTAAATATTAACATTTCAAAGTCTTATTTAAATTAGAATATTTTGAAAAATTTTGAGATATACAATATTTTTGTGAAGTTATAAAAATTATTAAATACATGTAAAACTAATAATTTCAACTTTATTTTTATTCTCACTTGTGAAATAATAATATAAATTTAACAGTAAGTGAATACCAATTTGGTAAAAAAATGTTATTAATGCTAATGTTTGACATTGACTTTTCTTTATAATCATAGGCCATAACGGAACATAAGCTATTGAAAATTATATTCTTTAAAACTTCATGAGTAATCCTGTATGAAATGATATACGGAATATAATTTGTTTATGTTGTGCATGTAAACCTTCTCTTGGGCTTTATTTTCTAATACTACTGAAGACAATTTTTCACAACTTTTAATGCTTAATCTTGTACTATTATACAATTCAGAGAGAAGGTATATGATACAGTCGGTTGTATCAGAAGTAAGGTATATTCGAGTAGTAGTCATTCTAAAGTAAAGTAGTACTCATTCTCACACAAATATAAACGCTTATTTTGAAATAATATAGTACTCATTCTGAAATGACATAGTACTCATTTTCATACATTTATATAATACAATTATAATAATCATTTACAAATAACTTAGTGTTCATTCTGAAATAAAGTGGTGTTCATTCTCAAAGTACGTAGTATTCATTCCCAAGTAACATACCGTTCATTCTCTTCAAATTTGGAAATATAATTTTATAGTCTAATTAAATTTACATTACTCCAAATCGCTCCAATCAGCATTGTCGTCTTCATCGTCATTGTCATCTTCATCGACATCTTCATCACTGTCGGCATCAACGATAATTGGACCTAGGATTTATAATTAGTTCCTTCCAGAAGAATAGCGCCTGGATATATTGTTTCTCCCGTTCGCACCTAGGGTTGCTGCTCTTCCGCGCAGACTTGTGACAATCCAGATCTTCCATCTTGTCGCACCTAGAGTCATTGCAGCAATCCAGATCTTCCCCACGATTATTCCATTTCGTTGATTCGTTTTAAGGCTGGTTGTATCCAAAACTGGGTACAACAGATTGTAGAATATAAATCAAAAAACTGCTGCGGGGTACCTCATGTTTTGTGGTAAGAACTGCCAAGTACCCATAATTTTTAAAATATACTCTCAGGTACCCTAAATTTTAAAAAAAAACTTACCAAGAGGATACTTTCCATCCCTTTCTCCGTCTACCCCATTTCATCCGTCAAATAACCCAAATGCTTCATCATCATCACCATCACCCATCTTCGTTCTTCCTCCTCTCTTCTTCTTTTTCTCTTTCTTTTTCTTTCTTTTTTTCTTCTCCTCCACCCACTTCCAATCTTCCAACCCCCCACCCCTCACCTTTTATTTCTTCTTCTTCTCCTTCTATTATTATTATTGTTATTGTTGTTATTATTATTATTATTATTATTATTATTATTGTTATTATTATTAGTATCATCATCATCATCATTCTTTTTTGTTAACAAAAAACATCATTCTTATTATATTATTACTACTTATTATTATTATTATTTATTACAAAGTATTATTTTCTTCTTCTAAATTACTATTGTTAATATTAAAAATTAAAATTAATAATTTTTTAGTGTTAAAACTAATTATTATTATTATTTACTTATTACGAAGTATAATTTTCTTCTACCTCTACTATTTATTATTATTATGAAGTAGTATTTTCTTCTTCTTCTATTATTATTATTCATTATTATTATTATTATTATTAAAAATTAATTAATAGTTTCACTATAAAATTGAAAATGCTTGACAGTTCTAAGCATAAAATTAAGGGTACCAAACAATAATTTTTTGTTTTTTTACATTAATAGAGATTGTGAAAGATTAATGGAGTATCCAATTTTTTGGTGATAGCTTTAGTATTTTTTTGTTAAAAATATAGTAGTAAAACAACTAAATAATAATAATAATAAAAATAATAAGCATAATAATAATAATAATGGTAATAATAATAATAATAATAATAATAATAATAATATAATAATAATAATAATAATAGAGGGTATATTTTATAAATTAGAGGTACTTGGCAGTTCTTATCACAAAATAGAGGGTACCTAGTAGCAATTTTTTGATGAAACTTATAAAATAAGAACTACCAGGTACCTCTAATTTATAAAATATACCCTCTATTATTATTATTATTATTATTATTATTATTATTATTACTCTTATTCTTATTCTTATTCTTATTACCATTATTATTATTATTATTGTTATGCTTATTATTATTATTATTTAGTTGTTTTACTACTATATTTTTAACAAAAAAATACTAAAGCTCCCACCAAAAAATTGGATAATCCATTAATCTTTCACAATCTCTATTAATGTAAAAAACAAAAAATTATTGTTTCGTACCTTTAATTTTGTGCTTAGAACTGTCGGACACCTTCAATTTTATAGTGAAACTATTAATTAATTTTTAATAATAATAATAATAATAATAATAATAATAATAATAATAATAATAATAATAATGAATAATAACAATAGAAGAAGAAGAAAATATTACTTCATAATAATAATAAATAGTAGAGGTAGAAGAAAATTATACTTCGTAATAAATAAATAATAATAATTAGTTTTAATATTAAAAAATTATTAATTTTAATTTTTAATATTAACAATAGTAATTTAGAAGAAGAAACTAATATTTTGTAATAAATAATAATAATATGTAGTAATAATATAATAAGAATGATGGTTTTTTTGTTAATAAAAAAGAATGATGATGATGATACTAATAATAATAATAACAATAACAACAACAACAACAACAACAACAACAATAATAATAATAATAATAATAATAATAACAACAACAACAACAATAACAATAATAATAATAGAAGGAGAAGAAGAAGAAATAAAAGGTGAGGGGTGGGGGTTAGGAAGATTGGAAGTGGGTGGAGGAGAAGAAAAAGAAGAAGAGAGGAGGAAAAACGATGATGGGTGATGGTGATGGTGATGATGATGATGGTGATGATGATGATGATGATGAAGCATTTGGGTTAGGGGTAGACGGAGAAAGTGATGGAAAATATCCTCTTGGTAAGTTTTTTTTTAAAATTTAGGTACCTGAGAGTATATTTTGAAAATTATGAGTACGTGACAGTTTTTACCACAAAACATGAGGTACACCGCAGCAGTTTTTTGGAATATAAATTGCACAATTCAGATGATTGATTGATGTTCCTAGATAACATAATGAGTATTACATTCTTCAAATTAAAATCATTTTTTGGTTTGAGATTTACAAACATTTGTTCTCATTTATAAACTTAATTATTATACAATCGCCATTGATTGGCAAAATATAATCCCCGCATTGGTTTATATTATTGAAAAAATATATTAATATCCTCAAAGGATTGAAAACAATTGTTCGGAGTCTGTATGCAAGACTGTATGTAGACATTATGTCAAACTAGTATGCATGGCAGCATGGTTGCGTTCCACATTAGTTTTCTTCACTTTCTTATTTGTGTGGCGCGTTGGTTTTGATAGGGAGTTTGTCAAGAATGCTTCCGTAAAAAAATTGACTATTTGGGCAACACCTCTATTCACCTCTCTCTGGGGGTGTGGATGGTGTCTAACACCATTGTGTTAGAGATTTATGTTTTAATTTTGCGTCACGCTTTGATAATGAAATAGCCACGTGTGCTTAAGTGTGCTTCTCATTCTACCCAGAGCGTTGGGGGCTAGGTTGTTACGCCTCCAATAAAATAAAAAAATTGTTTTTAACAATCCCACATTTAAGTAATTTTTTTTTAAAAAAATCTACTTTTCAATTTTAAGCGTAATAATTCCATCTCCTCGCAAGTGTTGAGATTTGGGTCGCCGTTAGAGAGCTAACGGTGACCTACGATCTTTTTGAAAAAGTCTTATTTTGAGCAAAGAAATAAAAAGTGGAATTATTTATGGTAAATTCTCATTGTAACGTCTCGAAATCCGACTTAATATTTTTAATTAATTTACATATTTAATTAGTTGTTGAGTTGGTCCGGAAGAATTTTATTTGAGAATCTGACTTTTGATATGGGAATTATGTTATTTTGTAGAGCTCGCTCGTCAAAACACGACCATGTGGGCAATAAACTAGAATTAATGAGCCCAAAATATAACTAAGGGATCACGTAATTGCGCTTTGTAACCATTCTAAGAGCACTGGTAATGGTCATGAAGCCCCGGGGCTTCAAACTTTCTCTCTCTGCCACGTCAGCTTTAACTTACACCCAAAATTCACTGGAAATGGTTTTGAAGCCCCGGGGCTTCAAACTGGGGCTTCAAACCTTCATTTTTTACATTTTTAAATATACATCTTCTAAATTTAAATTTATAATTTTAAATTAATTTATTATTTTATTTAATCGCAATGACACTATTGCATAAAAAAATTAAATTCATTAATAAAAAATCTTACATTCATAAAAAAAACATTAAAAAAAATTACAATCATTAAAAAAAATTACATAAAAAAAACAACAGTACAAAGAAATCACTAATTATTCGAACGACTAAAGATATGCTCGATCAAATCCGCCGTTAGTGCATTGTGAATCTCTCGGCTTCGAATTTCTTGGCGGTTGCGTCGTTTCTTTTCTTCGGTGATTTCTTCGTACATAGGCACCTCGTCGTCCGGGTTGTATTGACAAATCGCAGACCCGTTATCCTCTATAATCATATTATGAAGAATAATACATGCGTACATGATATTCCTCATTTTTGTCTGAGAATAACATTTCGACGGACGATCTAGAATGTGCCACTTA